TTGCCTACAACCAGGCATCATTGTCATCCTTAACGACAACCTTTTCATCCGCACTCTCCTGGACTAAGTGCTTCAGGTGTGTCACTTCCTCATCAGCCGTCACTTCGGCTTAGCTATCAGGTTTCCTCAGTATACGAAGTGGTGTCACTCCCTCAATATACAATTTAGCCTCTGCGAAGTCTGCACAGGCTATGAAGGGTTGAGGATCTGCATCAATTTCCTCTGTCTCTCCATTGCCCAAGGCCATCATTATTTTCTGATACAAAGAGGAAGGCACACATTTGTTAGTGTGGATCCAATCTCTACCAAGTAAAGCATTGTACTTAGCATTGCTGTCGATAACGAAGAATGTCGTCATGCAGTCCCTGGTTCCTACACTCAAGTTGATGGGTAGAATTCCCTGAGCCATCTGTTTGTCTCCAACGAAACCAACAATGGTTGTACTGGTTGGGATTAGCCTGGGGTTCCTTTTCCCTAGTTTTTTCAAGGAAGATTTCGATAATAAGTTCACCGTTGCCCCATTATCTATCAGGACTCGGTTCAATTGTATTCCATCGAAGAAGGCCTTGATATACAAAGGCTTGACATGTTGTGTCATAGAATTCGAGGGATACTCAAAAGGATATGAGAGGTTAATACTCACCTCTTCTTCACTCTCATATTCAGTTTCCATCGGGGTAGCCATTCCGGATTCATCTTGCACCATACTCACTTGTGAGTCTTCACTAGAGACTGGAATTGGGTCAATTTTTTGCCCCTCTTAGTTCTCATTTCCAGCTTGGAATTCATGCGGTAGTATGTGTACCATATTCACTGACACTGAGCCAAATTGAATGGCTGGCTATGCCTATTTCTCCTCTTGGCCACCTTGTTCAGTTACTTCAAAAGCATCCTCCATACTACATTCCGGTACATCATTATTAACGAGCTCCTTCGAATGGTCTTTTCTGACTGGCTTTTCAACCAAAAATGTTTGTTCGGCCATCAAAGCTTCGAACATTTCTTCCTCAACCATTTCTTTCTTTTGGCCTAGGCTAACTTCTTTCTGTGCCTCGCTACCACTCTCCATCAACGCCTTCTCTAATCCTGCTAAACTGGACTTCTCTCTGGCTTTTAGTTCAAAGTGAACTTTGGCCAACTGTTCACTGCTGCAACCCATTTTGCCTTGTAGAGTTGGTTTTGGAGTATAGTTTGACTTTGGGTTCTTCTTTCCTTCTGTCTGGACCAATGAAGAACTCTCTCCACTTTCTTTCTGGTCTTGCTGGTACTGAGTGTACCTACGCTGAATTTTTCTCCTTTGTGATCTAGAGATTACGGGGACCATATCTGGTTCCTTTGTTTTTGGGTGTTTAAACAATCCCCAATTGTTTGGAGCCACCAAAGGAGGTTTGACCATCCTACCTTGGTTTCCAATTACATCTCTTTGGGTAAACACTTCCCTAGGTTTGTTCTGTATCACAAACCAATCTGGAACTCCAGGCAACCACGAACTTACTGACCCAGCTGTTGAACTGCTTCTTTCTTCCTGCAAAGCCACCTTCGAGGCTGGTTGTGAAGGCCACTACTTGGCCCTGACTTCATGCTTTGGGCTTAACTCAGGCCTTTGATGAAGGTATCCACTTTCTGCCCTGCGCGAGGCTAGTCTAAGGGGCCAATCTCTGGCTTTGATCCCATTATTTGAACCATTCTCCAATCTCCTTTCAGAATGACTGCTCTCCATTTTGTAGTAATTAGGTGGCCCGGCCTCATATAAAGGTCTCTTGCCTTTAGAATGCATTCTATCGGCTGTTGGCTCAACCATTGATGGCTGCTGCCTACCACTAGTTGGATATGGCCTTTTGTTATAAGCATTAGTTGGTTTAGGACGTCTCTGCACATCCTTGTGATATTGCTTCACATCAATTGGAAGCCCTTTCAACCACTTATAACTCAGTCTGCACCTGGGACACATCCTTTGCATTACAGTTGCCTATAAGGAATCATCATTCAGTGCTTCTTCATCAAAGTCTTCCTTCTGGTGTGAGAAACCTTGTCCAATAATTGGTAGATTTCTAGTGTCTTTCTTGATAGTTGTCTGGTTGGCAACATGCATCTGCACATTGACTTCTTCCAATTCTTTCAAGGACAAACTTTGGAAGTCTGGCATAATGGCATTGGCTGCCACCTCTCCAATTTCTGGAAATGGATTACTGTCGATCCCCATGGTCTTTTCTGCTTTAGCTGGGAATTTTAAGCTTCATTTCTGAATTTTTTCTTGGATCCTGTCTCAAAAAATAATACAGTTTTTAGTCGAATGAGACCAAGAGTTATGTCATTTACAATATATTTTTCCTTCAAGTTTAGCTGGAGATGAAATTTTGACTTCTTTTGGTAACTTAAGGAAGTTGGCCGCAAGCAAATGATCAAAAATGTCATCTGCCTTAGTTAAATCGAAAGAGTATTTCCTGTGAAGGTCTTTCTTTTTAAATTGCTGGTCAATTGTTGTATCCTTATGAATTAATGCTTCATAGATCACAGGTTCTTTCCCCACAATCTCTGCTGCATCGATCTCATAATTATGATCTCTATAATATGTCTTGTACGATGTATTATTTCGATCTTGTTCCTCCTCTAGTAATGCTTCGTACCTAGACACCTTATAAGTGAGTTCCACTAAGTCTCTGAATTCAGTTGAGTCAAACTTCTTTCGAAGCCTAAACTCTAAGCCATTTTGAGCCAATCTCACAAATTCTGGCTCTGACAGGATGACTCTACATTTATTTCGAGCCCTCTTAAATCTAGCAATAAACTGAGTAGCCTTCTCATCAGGCCTTTCACTCAATCTTGCCAAGTCTGCCATGGAAACCTCTAGCTCCGATTGGAAGAATTGGGCATGAAATGCCTCTTCCATTTGTTGCCAAGTTTGGATAGAGCCAGGTGTAAGGTTAATATACCATACAAATGCTTCCCCAGTTAGGAAATTTAGGAATAATCTTAACTTCATATAGTCATTATTAGTAAATTTACCACATTGAGCAGCAAACCTAGTAATATGCTCCACTGTTGATTGGTTTCCATTCCTATAAAAAAGGGCAAAATCTGGTATCCTGAAACCTCTTGGGTATTCATGTACCCTGTCTACCCACTCTGGGTATGGTTTCCTATACACTGGAGTCTGGACCCCTCGAGCCATTGGTCCACACATCCCTCTAACAATGTCAGCAATTTGGTCCCTAGGAACCATATTTTTTGCCTGTTGGGCCATTACTGGAGGAACACACATAGCGTTTAGAAGAACTCCATATGCTTAAGGCCCTCTTGGTCCATGGAAAGGCACATTGGGAACCGGTTGTCCCTACTGTGCTGGTTGATGTTGAGGGTATGGTTGCCCTTTTGGAGTAGGCATCTGCCCTGCGAAACGTAGCGAAAGGTGTTGGAACTGGTGTTGTGTCTCTTCCATTTGTAGGAAAACCTTCCAACCCCCCGGGTATAAATTCGAATAAGGGATTAGTAAACCCCCTTATGCCAGGTATGCTTCGAACATGGGATTTGGAGCCATTCTTATGTTATTTTCTTGCACTGGGCCAGATCCACCAATTTGCATGGCTTCACTGTTAAGTACTGAGGCATTTTGACCTGCTATAGGCCTCGAAATAGGTTCGTACCAAGACTAAGGTGATGGTCTTTCATAGTTTTGATTACTAATTTGACCATTAGAATGCCCATTAACTTGCATAGGCTGTTTATCTCTAGCCAATCTTTGTTGAGGGACATTCGAAACTTCCTCCATGTGTCTTGCGTTTGTTGGTTGGTGGTTATTCATTCGATCCAAAAATGATGTTGCCTACATTTCCATCGTGTTCATTAACTGCTGTCCCATGGCATCTACTAGGCCACCCCATGGATTTATTGGCTGAGTAAATGGAACAGCGGATGATCCAATTCCTTGGTCTCGTCCAATATTACGAACATATGGTACTTGTTCTGAAGTGCTAGTCTGTTCGACCATAGGCTCTGATAAAATGAGAGTTTCCACAGAATGTGTTATCACATTATCCTCTGGATTAGATTTCTCTACCTCTCCTTCCACGCCTTCTTCCAAGCGTTCATTTTCTCCTTGTCTCCTACGTCTAGCCATTTCAATTACTCCCACCGGGCGTGCCAAAAATATATGTTGGCTTTTTGGCTTTCAAAGGTTATTTTTGTAATTGTGAGCGTGCTAGCAAGGATCAATCAGTCCTTATAGAAAATTAATTGCCAACCAATTATCAGACGATTGTGTTTTAGTTCTTTTAGCCTCAATGAAGAGGACTTTTACTGGTGGCTTGATTTAGGAGAATTAAGCAAGATAACAATTAAATGAAGAACAATTGAAGCATTTCATAGAATGAAAAAACTTACAATGATCCGAACTCAGCCTCGTAGAGGTTTACAGCAACAATCTATTACTTGAAACTACTCTTATGAACGAAGTGCAGTGCAGAAATTTAAAGTACAGGAATGTAAAGAACAGGAAATGTAAGACTGAAAATGTAAAACTGGAAAGGAAAATAAGTAGAATAAGACTGGTTTTTTTGAATCTGAGTCTGGGTCCTTTTTTCTGGGTCTTCTCTGCTATTTATACTTTTCAATGATGACTATTGAACTACATTTCCAACTGTCGAACTGCTCTTCCATGATTGTTGATCATGTTGCCTTATAATTAGCTCCACTATGCTATTTCTTGCAGTTAAACTTCCCTCCTAAATTTTGAATTTAAATGTGAGTAACCGTTGAAGCCATGTCACCCTGTATCTCTTTGTTGATCCATTGCTACTCAGATCTTGTAACAAACAATATTAACTGCCACGTGTACGATTAGAATCGAAGACTTGAATAGTCTTCCTGTACTACCCTTATCCTGCCATGCATCGAATTGTAATTGACTTGTACAAAATATATGTAACCAACAGAACGATAATGACAACAGATGATTGAGCGTGTTACAAAGCAAAATCCAATATTTATATGCCAAAGAAAGCTGAAATGGAGGGCCAATTTAGTGGGTAGGAGAGAGGAGTTTTAAACTTACTCAAAACAATTAGTTTTTCACATTCTCTTTCCTAATTGACAATTGGAAACAATCTGGCACCAGTCAAAGTTAAAACTTTCTTAAAATTCAGTTCAAACTCACCTGTAGTTTTTTGACTTCCTTATCTTGATAGTCGTGCAGGTTTTCCTTATGGGGCTGCAGAAATATTTTCACTCATGCAACACATGGGATGTGAACCAGATAGAGCTTCATATAACATTATGATGGATGCATATGGTAGAGCCGGTCTGTATGATGGTAAATGCTTGCCCTTGACAGTGATGGTCTATAATGCCGACTTTTGGCTCGCTTTTTTGAAATTTCCTTGCCTTAGAAAATTTATATTTTAACCTGGAAAAACTAAGTTGAGGGTCTTATCTAACCCTCCTTTCCATTCATAATTTAGTCAGAAAGCGAGAGAGAGAGAGAGAGAGAGAGGATAACCAGACTAAAATCACAAGGCCTTTCAACTACTATAATGTTAGTTCTCACAACTTTTCATGACCTAAAAAATTTCACGAATTTCTCATGAGATGATTTGCTTGTTGCTAGATGAACTTTCAGAATTGTAAATTTGCTCAAAAAAAATTTACAGTAGTATAATTGAGTAACAATCGAAGAAAAGTAGACCACTCAAAAGACTTGGGAGAAACATGGTATCTTTCTGATTGATCAACTATTTTATTTATTTATTTATTGTGGAGTTTGATTAGTACTTCCAAGATAAGTCGACTTTATTGCAATTATATGATCCCATTTACAAATTATCAATAGCATTTGTTGGACTTGGCTCGAATTTCTCTATAATTTACGGTGTCGTCTCTATTTCCCTTGCTAATTCCAATAAAATAGCATTATGCAAATCCATAAATAAATAATTTCAAACGGTTGGAATTCTTTGAAGCTAATTCATCCCATCTATACCATTCAATATGTTGTTGGAGAAGAGTCCATTTCATTTATCCGATATATGCTTGTTCAATTTCTCATTTCCTATATCAATCTGTTTTTCTATGTTTTGACTCCTTTCTGTTTGTGGCTAGATGCGCAAGCAGTGTTTGAAGAGATGAAGCGGCTTGAGATAACCCCAACTATGAAATCACACATGCTACTTTTGTCGGCCTACTCAAAAATTGGTAATGTGGCAAAATGTGAAGAAATTGTGGGCCAAATTCACAAATCCGGGCTCAAACCAGACACATTTGTCATCAATAGTATGTTGAACCTCTATGGCCGGGTAGGCCAACTAGAGAAGATGGAACAGGTTCTAAAGGCTATGGAAAAGGGACCATTTGTAGCCGATATTAGCACGTACAACATTTTGATCAATATATATGGAAGGGCTGGTTTTTTTGACAAAATGGAAGAGTTGTTTGAATTGATTCGTGCTAAGAACTTGAAACCGGATGTGGTGACTTGGACATCGCGGATTGGAGCTTACTCGAGGAAGAAACAATACCAAAGATGTTTGGAAATATTTGAAGAAATGATTGATGACGGTTGTTACCCGGATGGAGGAACTGCTAAAGTACTCCTCTCAGCGTGTTCTAGCGAAGATCAGATTGAACAAATTACTACTGTAATTAGAACAATGCACAAGGAAATGAAGACATCATTGCCAACTTGATGAATGTATGTGACACGCCACCTTCTCAAGTATTCGAATGCTGCAGCTACAAATTTCAACCAACTCTACTACAACCCAAAATTCAAGCAAATCATGTACTTCTTTTTCTCAAATTATAAGGTCCAGAATATCTTAAGTTCAATTGATGTAGCATTCTATCTTCCTTCCGTATAAGCTTTAGCAAAATTGTAAGGTCCAAATTTTGAGTTCCTCGTGCACTAGGCTGTCCTTTTTAGATGGACTCATGTATTTGTGTTTGTATTACATGGATGCCTATACTTGGGATTTGTTATTGATAATTAAAGTATAAAAAAAATATTGAAATATTTAAGTACTAAATTTTTAATTTGAATTTCAAAGAAACATGTTAGTTGGGAATGAAAAATATTAGTTGAAAACTTGAAATTCACTTTCAAGTGGCCATGTGCAAAGGTTCTGATTCCCATAGTTTGGTTGGGTTGGTGAGACTTGACCAACTTATAAGCATAGTATTAAATATTAATCATCATAATATTAATATTAAAAGGAAAAAAAAATAAAAATAGCTTCTTCTTTTTTTACAATTAGAATAATTCAAATTATTAAAAAATAAAACATAGCCTTTTCTTTTACAAGACTCAAAAAAAAAAAATGATTATTACAATATTTTTTTCTCTCTTTCAATCTCGTAATGACATTAAAGGCTTGTTTGATAACTATTCTGTTTTTAGTTTTCTATTTATATTTACAAAATTTTTAAAAAGTATCATATAAATTTGTTTGGTAAGTTTTTGAATTTATAAACAAGTCTCTCATATTAAAATTTACGGAGTTGTTTGGGGTGTCTTAAATAAGTGTACTTTTTGTCTTTTTAAACTAAATAGTTGAGGAAAAAATATGAATGCTTGGATTAACTTTTTGACTTTTTATGAAAAAATGTGTATTAAAAAATTGTATAAATAAGTGTATGAGGGAATAAAGTAATAGTGTAAGCGGTACGGTTGGAAGCAGCGCCGAAGAGGGTGTGTAGGAGATTGATTCTCTACTTTTCGGGCATAAATTGGTCGGTTCTATTTTGTCCATGGGACGAGTCTCGTTTTACTAATCGAAACCGTTCAATGTGTAGAACTCGTCGAGTACTATATGCTTGTAAAAAATCACGTTGATTAGATATCGATAACTATGTGATCGTGTTAGTTTTTTTTGTTCACGAGACCCATGGTGGGCCTCCATGGGCCCAGCTCTACCATCCAATTTAATGAATATTTTACTCCCTTTTTTTTTTTTTCGTCACTGACGGGCCCATCACGTCATACATTGTTAATTGTATTTTTTTTTATTTGTATTATTATTATGTGGATATTTTTTTTTTAATATTTTTTTTTTATAAATAGTGTCAACTTTTTAACTTTTTAACTTTTATAATGTATGCCAAACCAGCCCTAAGTTAAAAATTATAAACTGAAAAAACATGTTTACAAAAGTTTAAACAGTGAAGAAAAATGCAGAAGGAACGCGAACCACAGGAGCAGTATCCACGGAAACATTTTTGGTTTTTGTTGTTTTTAACGTACAAAAGTTTAAAAATTGACGAAAAATGCAAAAAGAACGTGAAAGCAATGCGGAAACATTGCGGAGAACCTTCTGTCAGATGTTCAAAGCATTTTTTGTTTTTATTTTTAAAATTTTTAAACATCTATACTATAGAGTAAAAAGCATTTTCAGTTTTTATTTTTCTAGAAATAAATAAAAACTAATTTACAGTTTTTTTTTATAAAATAAATAATCAAACCTCACCTTGTAACAACTATTTTATTTAAAATTATTTCCCTTTAACCATGAATGATAACATTTATTGTTTTTCAAAAGTAAAATGATATTTGTTAGAATAATGCTATATGCACAAATTAGTGCACTAAGTAGTATACTAATTGATGATGTGACATAATTTAAATTTTTTTTGATATTTGTAATTTATATAATGAGTGAAATTAATAATAATATCATAAGTCCATGTAGCACCACCATATTTGTTATATTAATAAAAAACTAAAATGAGAAGTGTAATGAAAAGCATAGGGCACCTTGTATGTACATTCATTAAATAAACACTTGGGCATGTTTATTTGACTGATTAAGTTTGATGAGATTATTAGTACGATGATGGTTAGTAAAGAGATTATTAACCCATGTTTGTTTCGACACTTGAGTGGCCAGATTGGATTGCCATAGTTGACCCAAGCATGTTTGGTAGTGAAATGGGAGGGCGGATTGATAGTCAAAATAGCTTAGTAATCCTCTTGAGTAGGGGGATTAACTTGCGTGAATTTTGGGTGGGATTAGAAAAATAGTGAGGGGATTGAGTCTATTTTATATAAAAAAAATTATTTTTTTTAGCAAGGGCACCTGTTTGTTTTATAATTGTTTTAATTTTTTTAATATAAAAATAATTTAACAATTTCATTGCTAACCATCTCCCATATTATTATCAAAACAAAAACACTTTTACTTAATCTCTCACTAACAATCTCCACATTAACAATCTTTTCACTAACTATCATCTCACTAAGAATCTTATCTGTACGGGGAGCAGATATTCAGGCGAGCTTGTACTCCTTTCTTCCAAGCTCCTGTCTGTCCGATCGACCTGCGAGCACAACGGCGGTGAGCTATCCGGCAGTGTGTGGCCGGAAAAACCCTCCAACGATCAAGTTAGCACACACGCAGGGATCAAGAGAGAGATGAGAGAGTAGAGTGTAAGTGTTTATCTTACCAAAAGATCATCTGTCCAGCATGGGGGGCGCAGACACGCTTATATACCTTCTACGCCCCAAATCTGCTCCCATTAGTCTCTCGACACGTAGTGCTACTATCTCATCAGTCAGCACAAATCCAGCGACCACCACCTAACCAATCTGTTAAGATACCTCGGCGGAGCTCGGCAGATCGGCAGAACCTCCCCGGTTTCGCCTGACCGCGCTGCGCGACACACCTGTATCGCCGTGCTCCTGTACAACCGAGCTCGGCCAGATTCCGACGAGTCGAGCCCGAGGTAGGTCGGTCAGGTTAGCCGTTGGCCCTTATGCCGAGCTAACGCATGAACTGTGGAAACCATAGAGGCCAGTAGACAGCCCAGCCGCACTCCCAGTAGACTGGTTTCCGCACCAAGAAGCCAAGTAGCTTGGTGCACACATGCCCTTTGCCTTAACCGAGCAAAACCTTTCTGGACAGGCCCATGCTGCCACGGCCCAATTATGTTCGGCCCATAATCTACCCGGCCGCTACCGCGGCCCAATCCAGCTCATAAATCTCCCTCTCACCATCCAACCTAATCCATCAAACAAACGTGGCCTTAATGTGGAGATTGTTAATGAGGGGATTAAGTAAAAGTGTATTTATTTTGATGATAGTGGGAAAGATGGTTAATGATCGGATTGTTAAATTATTTTTATATAAAATAAAAATATATATATTTCTATGTTAAAAAAAATTCTAAAACAAATCTAATTTTCTTTTACAAATAATAGGCTGTACTTGGATTAAAAAAAAATACACTTATTTTTTCAATCCCCTCGCTATTTTTTCAATCCCATGCTTTCTCAGGAAAAGCTAAGCCCACTGTCATACATCATTGACAATCCCATTGAATTAATAGTCCAATAGAGTATATGGCTTACCAAACAAGCCATAGGTGAGGTGGCCTCACTAGCAATCTAATCCTCTCAATGAGTCAGCCAAACAAACATGCCCTTATACATATAGATATAATACGAAAAGCATATTATTATTATATAAATCAAAATGATACACAAGTAACAATAATTAAAAAAATTTAATAGATATTTTATTCTAAAAAAATAAATCTCAATATAATTACATTATTTTATTATATTTTTTATTTATATAGTCGATGAAATTTGACATTTAGATGCACCAACAACCATGTGCCACCACTTGCTATATAAATGGAGTTTGGAAAGGGGAATATTCCATGAGAGCGACTCTGAGTTTTTTTTTTTGTTTTTTTGAATATTCTAAAAAATTAAACTATTTATATAAATAATTAATTTTTCAAACTATTTTCAAAATACAATTTCATGGTAAAATCGCATCTTGAACATATAATTTTATATTATCATGGCCCGTATCTATACATCATTAAGCCAAGTTAATATGAATTGCATCTTGAACATGCGAGATCATGACTAACTTGCATTTTGAACTTGTGTTTTTAAAAAAGTAAGTTAGTTTGATGAATAGTTTGAAAAGTGATTTACTTTGATAAATAATTTAATTTTTTTTATAATATTTATAAAAAAAACCCTACACCAAAATCATGATTATTTTCAAAAAATATTCAGTTTATACAAAAAAATTTATTTTGATATCAATTATGGAAATATATTTTCATTTGATAATTAATATCTGAATCATGAATTTTGTTCAATAATTAATATCTGAATGCAAAATATTATAAATTAAGAAGTTTTATAGTGTGTAAATAGTAATTTTCAATAATAGAGTGCAAATTTTTGTGAATAAGACAATATTCACTAGTTGAAAAATACTTTACAACTAGATTTTGCTTTTCTTTATTTGTTCATATATATATATATATATATATATATTTGATCTTTAGTAATTTTTAAAAAAAATGTGTCAAAAACTTTGAATTTTTATTTTTTTATTAAAGATGAAAAAAATTAATAATAAAAAAAAACTAATTACCAAACATGGTAGGGAATGGTAGCATCTGACACCAACCTCTGCTGAATCGGCACTCCACCAAGGGTCTAGATCCTCTGCTATGGTCTCCTGCGGCGCTCCCCTGCGGTGCCCCAAAACGACGTCGTTTTGGGGCAAGTTTTCAAAAAAAAAAAAGAAAAAAAAAAGATAAGGCAAGAACCAGAGAAGGGAAGAAGAAAGAAAAGAAGGCAAAGGAAGAAAGAATGCAAGAAGGAGGAAGAAAGAATGCAAGAAGGAGGAAGAAAGGCTTTCACCCAAGGTGCCACCATCTCCCTGCCATCGCCGCTGCAACCCGCCATCGCCACTCCCATAGCCACGAGCCCCCTTCTCTCTCCTTCGATCTCCATGGCCAGATTCAATATTGATGAGTTTGAAATTGTATTTCGAAAATTTCATGAATTTGATCTTGAAGTTCTCAAACCCATTTTGTGTTCAAATATATGTATATATCCAAAAAAAAAAAAACCTTCATGAATGAAACCCACAAAATATATATATATATATGTATATATATATATATGTATGTATGTATGTATATGAAATTTTTTTCAAATATTGATATGAGTTTGAAATTGTATATGAATCTGATCTTGAAGTTTGAAATTGCTTCGAAA